TCAAAGGCAGACATTCACTGAGAAGCTGGAGTCAGCCTCTTCGGTTGTTAGCAAAGGGTATTTTTCTGCAAGTGTTTTGGAAATAAGATGTGTGCAGAGCCCCAGATGGCAGAGTAGTTGTGCTTCTCTGTTCAACCTTAACCTGTGTGAGGCTGGCATTAAAACCCAGAACTGTAACATGCAATTTCCATCAGTAAGTTGATAATACCCCCACATAATTTGCAATGCTCTGTTAAAAGGAGGTGTCCTCTGACCATTTTTTAATGAGGCAAGTGAGTTTTAGAGGGAAATATGCTCATCAACAGGGCATGCACACGCACATATATATATATATCTATCTCTAAGATGGGCAGGGATGTATAATTAATGTCAACATACAGGGCTGCCTCTGCTGACTGCAAGCTCTGGCATCAGCTTGGCAAGTGTGGGAAAGTGGCTGCTGACTGAGATTATTGGGAGTTAATTACTTGCTTGATACAGAACACATTTACAATTAATAAAAGTTGGAGATCTTTTTATGGAGAAAGAAATGGTCCAGGAGCTTTATGTATCCCTGAAGGGACAGGTGAGAAGAGACAGCCTCTGGCACTGCGAGGCACTTCTTTGGACAGCGCTGATCCAAGGGTACTGACAGTCACTTTGTACTGTTGAATTATTCAGGAGTCCTTCACAGATGACTGCAAGCAAGGGAGAGTAAGAGGTCCAGGAGGACGTTTAGGAGGAAATATTTAGTGCTCAATGAGAAAGTTAGGCATAAGCCAGATCTTCACAGAACTTCAGCCCAGTAAAGGGTGGCAGGCTCTCTGAACAGACACAGGTTACACAGAGAAAGCATTTTCACCCTGTCACTGAAAATCTTTGCAAGTGAAATTTTCTGAAAATGAAGAAGTTACCCATAAATTAGTCAAACCAAAGTAAAAAGGTAGAAGAGACCAAGTTAAACACTGTTAAGATCAACTGAAAGCCATATGTTGTATTGTAGCATTTATATGGCACATGTGAGTGATAGTGTTATGGGACTGTCCAGCTACATCTGAAGAAATGACATTTCTTCTATTTATCAGTATAGCAGAGCATCCTCTACACAGGTTGAAGATTAGTTGTGTCTCTTCAGCCATGGGACACGTTAAAAACAAGGTTAAATTGCAAGGTTCTTTTCTTCTAGATGTGTGAAAGACGTAATAGTAATGTACCAAAGTGACATTTGACCTGCTGCCCAGACAAAGGCTTAGAATTGTTGTCCCCAGGAGCTTTTCAGAGTCATTTTCTTGGTCAGTTTGCCAAAAGCTCACAATGTTTTAATGCCCAACAGCCCCCAGAGCAGCTGGGAGAGTATTCATGCAGGGACAGTGAGCACAGTGCTGTGGCCTCCAAAAAGAACATCTTTCCCAGCAGCATTTCATCACCTTCCTCCTTGAGAGGTACCCAGTTCAGGCCACTGCATACACCACACAGTGGCTCACAATTAAAACAACCCTGCATCAAAAGGTCCTAAGAGATACAGTTCAGTCAGACAGCTGGATGCACTGAATAGCCTAGAAGATTACCTCAGTAGGATGCTTTTGTACCTTTAGAAATAGATAGTTCCCTTCAAGAACTGGTGACAGATATTTAATGGTAAACCTTATGTCAGAGACAGCCTACAAGCAAAGAACACAATAGCTAAAGTATGACCCTGTCCATTTGTCAGAGTGCCTGCTTTCTGCCAGAGGACACCAGGAAATCTGTGTGGGGTTTTTTCACTCTTTCTTTTCTCAGCTATCCTGCCTGGGTTTTTTGCTTCTGTTTTTTTCAGCTTTACTGCTCTCAGGAGTGGCAAGGCTTAAGAAAAGCTGGTTTTAGGGACATTTCTGGTCATCAGGACAGTGACTAGGCAATGGATTTTGTTCTAATATAGATATATTGCTTATAATATATTTGTTATATTTTCTCTGAGACCTTCAGGAGAGCAGCAGCTCTGTGTCACCAGTGGCAGAATTGTAACCCTGACATGGAGCTGAAACCTTCAAGGTCTCAGCTGGTCCGTGATGTGAAAGGCATACTCATCCTTGAGAAAGAACCACTAAAACATGTTCACACCAGTTTCAGTTTTGATGAACCACAGATTTTCAGGCAATGAACACACCATCCAAAAGATCTCAACCAGCACTAATTGTAATAAGTTTTCTTTTCCTTAAATACCTGGGTCTTTTTAGACAGAGCATCAGGAAAAGTCACCCTATGACAGTGTTCCTGCTATGAGGTTAAATGACCTTCTCATTATCCAAATGACAGGAAGTGGCAGAAATTGTGCTGCTGCTCAGTATGCCATTGAACTGCATTTACACTTGGTTTTTCACCTCTCAAATTGAAGTTCAGAGTCCCTACAAACTCTTATCTTGATTATCACTGGCTGTGAGCCAAAGCACACTTTGCTCAGCTTTCTATAAAATGCGAATCATGAGCAATCCAATGGCTTCCTGCAATATCTTTCATTAAAGGAAGATGGATCTACAGACTGAGAAGAGGGAGCAAACTTGTGATCCCCTCTGAAGCACGTCAACCAGCTCTACTTTGTTAACCTGCCCCCATGTCAGCTCAAGATATAGGGCTGACTTCAAGGAACAGCTCAAGCAAGTTCAGCAAGGACTACATAATGTTTATAGATTCCCCAGCAAAGGTAAAATCTTGGTACTATTCCAGGAAAATGTAGCACTCTGAATTCAACAGACCAGGAGATGTGAGGCTGCTGCAGCTCCACGCCCAAGTCCAAACTGTAGTGAGCCTAAAGATGTTTTCCTAGTAGGCACATGCACACAGAGGGTGTTTATATACCACATATATATGTGTATGTGTATGTGGCTGGACACACAGGTCACAGATAAACATTTACATCAATGCAAACCGTGCATGTCTCCTGACCTATGAACTTAATGCACCTGTCCCTATTTAGGATAATGCTTCCCAATAGGAGAGAAGTGTATCTGTCTTGATGGGAGTCAAGCATGGCAAATAGCAGACTCAAGCACTCCAAACAGCATGTATTCCCATTTCCCTACATTCCAGATTACATGTGCCACTGGGTCTCACTGCATTGTTTTTCTCTGCAAAAGCCCCCAGGTAGCATCACCTACTTATAAATCATTAATACCACAATCCCAGGATGTCTGTTGCTTTTATCCCAGGACCTTGTGGTGCTCTTGCATCACCTGCATGGAGACCCATCAGGGGGTTTCTGTGGCAGACGCATAGCTATTTCTTTTCTCCAGCTATAAAATTATAAAGGTGCTTTTCAGACACTGATCTATTCAGTGCTGTTGGGGCACAAAATACTGAAGAACAACTGTGCAGCCACAGGGGAAGAGCAAAGCTGATCAGATAACCTGAAAAAAGAAATGCCTATTTAATCTTTGCTATTCCTTATCCTTAGGTTTGATGCTAATATTTGATGTTCAGTTATCTCTCCTGACAAGAGCTCTCCAGAAAAAAGTACAATCTTGCTCTCTATTCCCTTACTGTATCTCATTGGAGATAAAACACAGCTTCTCTGTGGAGTTTGCTTCTCTGGCACATAATTTTTTGGGTTTGTTTTTAAAAAGAGCTGAAGAAGGATTTTGCCGAATTAACTGGATTTCTCATAATAAAAGCCTTGAGCAGCTATAATTGTATAGTTGGCTTTGTTTACAATTATATCGGCTTCTCTTTTCTCTGTGATTTATTTCCCAGTGTTGTTATCCAACACGCATTCATGTTTGGTTTTGGTTTTTGTTTTGTTGTGGGTTTTTTTTACAAATGGGATGATTGTTCCTCAGATGCCTGAAGCTGTTACTGTGCTAATTCCTTGACTCAGCTTGCTGTGTCCTGTCCAACCCCCTGCCATGGGCAGGGACACCTTCCACTAGGCCAGGTTGCTCAAAGCCCCATCCAACCTGGCCTTGAACACTGCCAGGGATGGGGCAGCCACAGCTTCCCTGGGCAACCTGTGCTAGTGCCTCACCACCCCCACAGTAAAGAATTTCTTCCTACTTAAACTTCTAACCTAAATCTCCCCTGTTTGAGCTTGAACCCATTGCCCCTTGTCCTATCACTACAGTCCCTGATCAAGAGGAAAGAATGTCTTAAGCAACAATCTGGGTTCAGTAGAGTACGTTCAACGGCCACTCTCATACATCCCACTTTCCCAGGCCTTTGAGAAGAAATTGTTCTCCTTCAAACTCCAGGTGCCTTTTCAGTCCCACAAAACATACCAGCTGATGAGCATGGCCACATGAGCAGCACTTAGTATATGCAGTCTATTTTCACCTTTTCTTTTCTACAAAGTTTTTCAAATTTGATTTGAAACAATTGCCAGATCTCGAACACAAAAGCCATGGAATATTGAAGAGCTTTCAGCTTCAGATTAAGTCCAATAGCCCCTGCCACAAATCCCTGAAGATCATAAGATACCACAAGACTTTAAACTGGAGAGATGTAGTTCATGGGGAAAAGCTCAGAGGAAGCTCCCTGTGACTCCTGCCTTTCAAGATAACAACCCTGTGTGTTTAAACACTTCCACACCTCCTACATAGTTCATCTTCTGATGCAGACACGATGCCTGTGATGCACAGACGCATGTCACAGTATACTGAAGGGCAAGACGAACTTGAAGATGATCTTGCAGACCTGGGTGAAAATCCCAGTCTGGAAAATGAATGAAGGACTGCACTGCTTTTCTCTCCTCAGCTTTGTAAAGTGACATTTCTGCCTGTGAACCAAAGGATTCAGTACATGAAAAAGCCCCAGAATTATAGTTGAGCAAGCCAGTATTGCTGGGAGGGGTACTTACACACAGAGATTTTCTCAGAAAGTGTCAATGCCAGCCTGAACTCTCATGGTAGGAAAAACCAAACAACCAAACAAACCAAACTCCAGGTAATCACTCGTTTTCTGTAGAAAATGATAGGCAATAAAAATACTCCCAACGTTCACGGCACACTAAAAACTGACAGATAAAAAATACTGGCTATGAATCTGTCAAGCAGCTCGTGCTGCAGCAGGGAGAAAGCATGAAGCTCAGGAGCTAGGACCTCCAGTACTTAGGGAGGAAAGGAAAACATGAACAGTAAAAACTTCAGTTACCCTGCAGCTTGCATGAAATCTCTGGGAATTTGTCAGCCACGCTGGAAAAACACAGGAAAGGAGTGAATGAGCAAAGTTGGGCAGAGGGATTGCAGCTTAATTCAAGATCAGTCTGAGTCTTAAAATATGTAAGTTTACCACTTTGCCTACAGAACTCCTGTGAATGAGTTATCCAGCAGCATTTCCTGCTGTTAGCTTTCCTGGCAAGGCTGCAATCAGAATAGAACTTCCATGTCAGGAGGATACCCACAAGTAGTGAAGTATGCAAACAGGGTAAAAAAGCAATTCACAGATTTATGTTTAAGAGTCCATTTTGACTTTTTTTAGTAACAAACTGAACTATCTCCAAGTTATCTTACTTACAAGTTATCCAAGTTATACCATTGTTAGGGTGGTGAGGCACTGGAATGGGTTGCCCAGCGAAGTTGTGAATGCTCCATCCCTGGCAGTGTTCAAGGCCAGGTTGGACAGAGCCTTGGGTGACATGGTTTAGTGTGAGGTGCCCCTGCACATGGCAGGGGGGTTGGAACTTGATGATCTTAAGGTCCTTTCCAACCCTAACTATTCTATGATTCTATCTGATCCCAAAACTCATATGTTTGCAGAAATACTATACTCAAAAGGAAAAAGAATCTGGATAGTTTTACAGGAAAAACTATTCAACTACTATGTTTTGTCAACCTGGGCACAGTCACATTGTTAGCTGGACAGCAAGGAAGGGGGTGTACGTCTTTCGTCTTTCTCAGCCAGGCCAGGAGGTGATCAGAGGGGAACCTTAGGGAGCAATTAGGATCCCCCATGCAAACACTCCGAGCTCTGAGCTCCGATGTCCAGGGAACATCCCCAGTAGCAGATTCCAGGAAGACAGCAAAGCAATTTGAAAGTCTGTACCTCTAATTAGCAAGCATGTATTTCCCCACAGGGGAGAGGGACTGGAGGCTCTGCTAGTTCGAGCAGACATACTGGCTGTTCTTATTTAGTTATCTACTTCTCATGTAAGCTCCAGCCTGATGATCTTAGCTTTAACCCTGTGCCTTTAATCCTGCACTCAATTTAGTTTCAGTGTGGGGTTGGGAAGGACTTGCTTGGCTGTTCAGGGCTGAATTCACTGAGGAGGGGGAAGAGGAACCAAAGTGAAAACTGGGAAGGACTCAAGCTCACCCATCAGCTGCAAAAGGTGCCCTTTCAGCCTCTGTAGTGCTCATGAGGCACAGGGTTTTCATCCTCATTACTGGAAACTACCCCTTACCATCTGTGCTTAACCTTTCTCATCTCTAACTCTCTTATCAACCTCATACCCACAAGGGAAGAGCAAGTCCTTCATGTAATGCTCTCTCTAGAAGACACCACAATTTCACTTCGTTCCAGTTTCTGTTGTGTTACTCATCTTTCATCACTGACGCATTCATCCAGCCAAGGCAACATGCAAACAGAGCAGCATTATCCCACTCTCCTCTCGGCATGGTGCATGTGCCAATGTGCAAATCACCATGCTGTGCAATGAGCAGGGGAGTGACAGTGCTGAACAGCAGGACTCACTGGTTCTGCCTTACACATTGCAACACAGATGATCATAAGAAGGGAAAATAAATTGAAGTTGGTCTTTTCCATTGACGTAACTGTTTGAATGAATGCTCTGTTTTAATACTTTTGTATTTCATTTTTTACTTGACAAAGAGAGATACTTCCAACCTGTGTAACAAAAGCAAATCCTTTGCAAGGTATTGCAGCAAGGAGCCCCCTTTTTAAGTAAGCTCTGGAAAAAGCACTTACCTTTCAGCCAACAGTCAAGAAGCAGGCATTCCATCCCAGAAAGTGTGCAATTCTGTCTACAACATCCTAAAAGCTAAGGACAGTAGAGAAACACTGAAGAAGAGTACCAAGACCTTTGGATGATCCATCTTGACTGCTATGTGAATAACTACTCTGCTTGTATCAGTGGCTCTTGCACAGCACATGCCTCTCCTGGTACCTAAACACTATTATAAGACTGCACAGCCCACCTTGTCAAGATCTGATGCTATTTTACACTGTCCTGACAGCTTCCTGGCTTTGACTTCTTTCTATTTTCATTTTAGAGCATGTTCACATTAATAACAGTGGCTGAATCGTGTGTTCTCATTATGAATGAAAATCTGCTCTTCCAAAAAACTAATCAAGTAATACATTCATGCCTGAAGCAGCATTTTAATGGAAGAAAAGCTTCATGTGCATGTTACTAAATATCACTTCCTTACAGTTGCATACTGTTTCCGTTATTAGGCTTTCCTAACACTCAGCCATGATGATAAATAGCATTTTTCACTATGATGAGAAATTAGGGACATTTTGGATAGGTGTTGGTCTATTTCACCTGCCTAGAAAATACATTGAAAGATAAAAAAGTAAGCTCCCTCTATTTCTTATCGCAATACTCTTGTCCTTTCACCACAGAACACTGGATTTCCCAAACTCACGTCCAAACCTGCATCCTGATTACTAGTCAGATAAATGTATATTTATATGGTGATGGTGTCCTCAAATAAGCTCATGATCTAAGGGAGCTGAAACTCTAAGGGAGTTTTCTGCTGTGAATGGAAATTAATCGATCTCTTCTTCCTAGCACCAGCCTAAGTTACTTAGCAGGGTAGCTTTATTTATAACCATTTTGTTATTTGCAATGTGCTGAAAGGCAGTAAAAATGTTTCGTGGTTTAACCCCAAAGTGAAATACTTAATTCCCTCTACTGAAACACTAATTTTGTGGCATCTCTTTGTGTCAGGAATGGGAGAGTTCATTCACCCTGCCACAGCCAACAAGATACACATCTTTCTAATTGTGGGCATAGTTTTCTCTTTCTTCCACGTAAGGAGAGAAGTGGTCCTTGGCTCTGACAGCTAGGCACCAAACAGAAGTGTGAGCTATGAACCATGGCATCCCATTCTTTCTCTCAGTCCTTGGCTCACTCCCAAGTCTACAGACACAGACCAGAGCTAACCCAGGAGGTACTGACAGGGCTAAATTTAGAGAAGCAACATGCAGTGAGATGCAGTGGTGCTCCTGGTACCTGAAATGTAGCTCAGCAGCTGCAGTATGATGATGCTGCTTCTCCTTGTTTCCATACACAAAGTTGTACACCTCCCACCCCCTAAGTAAATGCATCCATCCAACCAAGATACCATTTTGGAGCACAAAATGGGTAGAAAACTGGCTGGCCTGTCCAGCTCCAAGTGGACAGCATGACTAGATACAAGCCCAGCTCTGTTATGAGTGGCCTTTAGGAAGACATAATAACTACCTGAGCAGCAGGATCTGATGTGCCAGGGGGAATGCTGTCTGCCAAGTCAAACAGAGATAAGTATAGAGATCGTCCAGAAGAGCTTTGCATAGCCCCATCTGCCACAGCCCTAAATGTGGGAGAGACTTGTGTTAGCAGCACTCTCTCCTTCATCCAGCCTGGCTTCCCTTTGCTCCTGCCCAGGAGACTGCCACAGAGCTGAGCACAGGAACAACACAGAGGGATCACTGCTCCCTTCTCTCTTTGCCTGGCAAACACGAGAGAATTAGCAGCTCCCAAGAAGCAAATACACTTTTTCTTTCAGTAGCCAATAATTAAATAACTAAATTAAATACTGCAGTTGTTGGTATGGTGTGGGATGGCAAGGTACAATAATGCTTTCCAGGTTACCTATGCTGTAAACTCGGTTGTGGCATGCAGCTACACTACAATCTTGCCAACCTGTTGATGAGAAATTATGACTTTACTCTTACTGATGACACCCTCCCACCTTGTGATGGATCTGTCTTTGCACTAGAAAAACATAAGCTATAAATGTATATCTCAAAAATAAATTCTTATTAAGGTATTGAAAAGTTGGTTGGATTAGCTTTTTTAATACAGCCTGTATGTTAAAGAAAATAGAGTCCGACTAAGGTAAAGAGCTGAAGAAGCTACCTGAGCAAAGAAAGCAAGCTCAGGAAATGAATGACAGTGCCCCATATGGTCATGTCACTTATATATCTTACATCTAATGGAGAAAACTGGCAAAATCAAACAAGTCTTTACATATCTAGTTCTGAGCTACTCTGTGTTTGTCATGGGATTAAAAAGTTGTGAAAATGGAACTACAGGGCAGGGATCAGAGCTGCAGTTCATCTTCACAAGTCTGGTGCTTCCATAGCATTGGCAGATTGTGTAAAGAAAAATACTTCACAAGGAGGAACTTAGTCAGTGTGGATCAATCTGCCCAGGCACACCTGACACTAAAAATATTCTAACCTATTAAGTGCTTAGAACCATTTTAATTGCACTCTGGGGCACAAAAAGAGGTGTTTGAGTTGTAGCAAAACTCATCACCTCTCTCACAAACTCTCTACGCTCAATCACTACACACTCTGATTTTACATGGCACACCACAGGAAACCTGCTTAAAGCTGTGTCTGATATAAAGTGGTTTAGCATTTGGGGAAACAATTTTCTCAGACAAGACCGCTTGCTAAATTCAACCCATAAACAGTTTGCACCTCCCTGAATGCCTTTTCTCTGCTAGTTGGCTACTGATCAAAATCTCTCTGCTCAGATCCCCAAAGCTGTCCCACAAGAAGAAAAGGAACCTGCCTCAGCAAATATGCTTTTCCTTGGGAGAGAAACTGGCAATCTGCATTGGGCCTGCCAGAAATCACCTGAAAAACAGCTGAAAAGACAAAATGGAGTTAAAACTAGCACCGGGGAACAGCTGGATCTTATCCTTTTACAGTAGGGTGCTGCAACCAGCTAGCGGTCGGCTGCGCAACTCTAAAAGCTATGGGCAGTTCTCTGCTTGGTTCATGGGTTAGCTCTTTGACCTACCACAGCCAACGAAGAAAACCATGAACCAGGGCACTACTGTCTTTCCATGCTACACCATTGCCAAAAAGCATCCATACAAACTCACCCTGTGTGTCCTCAGTGCCTCCTCCTCTCCTATCTCTATGTACCAGATGCAGAAAGGAAGGATTACCTTGGAGTTGTTTCAGCCCAGCTACATCAGTCAGGCCTCTAGTCTGCTAGATCAGGAGTATGCTTTTAGAGAGTGATGTTTGAACAAACAGCACATTTGCCAATATTCCCAGCAAAGGGAACTAGCAGCAAATACAGCAGGACGTTGCAGTAGTGAGAGGGATAATGGTGGCATCCTGAAAGTCTGGTTATTCTGCTTTTACGTTTCCTAAACAATATAACCCTATTTTCTATTCTTCCACCCCACCCCATCCCCCTTTTTTTGTTGTTTTTTACATTACAGGTGGGTTTTTTTCCCCCAAACACTGGAAGAAAAGGACACTAGAATGTAAACAATTAGCTTGACTTCACATTTTAAAGCAGAGGCATGTGCAAAACAACAGCAACATAGGAAGGTAAATCTGCTACGAGTTTCTTCATTTTTCCCACTACGAGAGACCACTCTCAAGCAGAACAAAATCAGCAAAGAAGTCAATAGAAATGGGAGCTGATACATGTAAATTCAAAGCGAGATCTCTTCTCATTGTCTCTCAGCCAGGCCAGGAACATGCAGGGAAGGAAACCTTCCAGCACAACTGACACTCAGTAATGCAATTTCTCTCTCTTCCAGGCCACATCAGTTTGGGCAGATCCTGGGTGCTGACACTGGTGTGTCCACCTATAAGCAACTCTTCCCAAGGTGTTATGATGCTGCTCCCAGGGTTTTGCAGCTCTTCCAGGACTTCGGGACAGCCACCAGGATCTGCAAAGTGCAGGAGAAAGAGCTCCTGGGGTTTGCAAACACAAGGACTGACCAGCAGGGAAACACAGGCACAGGATTTTGAACCTTGATAAAGACTCTGGGAGAGAATACCTGCCAAAGAGGGGGTAAGGAAGGTCTGATAAGGTAAACCCCATGCCATTGCCTGCTCACCCTTTAGGGTATCACACATTACAACTCAAGGATCTCCCACCACAGGCACAGCTATCAGACAGCACTTGCACTGGTGGTGCTGGACACAGCACCTACCGTGCATTCATTCACCTTCCAGGCATTGCTGTGCACCAGAAAAGGGGCCACCTCCCCACCCCAGTGAGCAAGCATAGGCTCTGATGCTG